ATCCTGTGCAATTACAGTGCTGAATATGGATACAATAAAACCTACTGAGAGAGACTGTGGAAACTAAATGAATCTTAAATATATGTGATGTAGCAGTGGTGTCAGCTGTGTAGTAAAGGGAGAGAACTTAGTGGAGGAGGAAAGGACATGGAACCTCTGAACAACGATTTACTGCTACATAAAAGGGGATTCTTGTCTTTCCTTATTCACTGCAGTGAAAGCTTTTACCTCCTTCTAGCCTCTTCTTCAATTTCAGCTAAGCAAAAGATAGCCCAAAGTATGGAAATAAAAGTTTGGGCAAGACATTACGGCTCACTAGAGGTTCTTTTCATTCCAACACATCTGGAGAGGGCCTGACGGAGGAAAACTGATCTTGGGCTTTGTGGTCCACAGATATGGAGTGTGTCAGCAAAACTGCATGTTATATATTTTGAAAGCCCCAGTGACAGTGGTAACCTAGTAAGAACCATGAGCACACCATGTTTAGCAAGACTATGCCTTGTTGGGATTATGAATGTGTATAAAGATACGTTGAGGGAAATACTTGCCAACTAAGGACCTGACTAAGGTTGGCAGGTGATAGTGAGAATGGCTCCTCAGTGTTGTCCCCATCCTAACAAATTACAGTGGTGCCTCGCTTAGCGATGTTAATCTGTGCAGCAAAAATCGCTGCTAAGCGATAACATCGCTAAGTGATTTGTAAAAGCCCATAGAAATGCATTAATACGCGTTTAATGTGTTCCTATGGGCTTAAAAACTAACCTTATGCGAAAATCCTCCATTGCGGCGGCCATTTTCGGTGCCTCCAAAGCAAGGCAAAACAGTGGGTGGCCATTTTTTCCCCGGCAGCCATTTTGGAACCGTTGATCAGCTGGCCAAAAATGGGGGCTTTGCGATGATCGCTTCCCCACGATCATCACAAAGCAAATTTTCCCCATAGGAAACATCGCAAAGCGATCGCTTTTACGATCGCAAAAACAGCATCGCTAAGCGATTTCGCCATAAAATGGAGCGATCGCTAAGCGAGGCACCACTGTACTTCATGGGAGAGACATGCCTATACAACATCTCTGAGAGAAATTCTGTTTTCGGCTACTTTGAAGACGGCTTTTAAAGCATACCTGTTCTCTTTGGTGACTAAGTAAAAATCTTTTATGTCATTAGCTGCTATTATATATTTGGAATAATATGTTATTTTAACTCACTTTTTAAAAGCCTTACATTCAAGGTGTATTTATAATCTGATACTGTATTTATACTGTAAGCCACATTAGGAAGAACACAGTCTTGAAAAATAACTGAGAAATACGTTTTAAATCACCACACATCTATTTGGGAGGAAAGGTACATAATAGAACAACATGAGCATGTATCCAACTGTGTGATAGGAAGCAATTACAGTGGGTAAAATCTAGTAGTAAATCATAACAGTAGTGAATCAGTGGGGATTTGGTTAGTCAACTCCTTCTGAAGTTCCATTGATTCAGTGAGCCTACTCTGGTTGTGATTTATCCAGTCCAATCCAATCTTATCTCCCTTCTGTGCCCAGCCCAACCCCACCGCCCTTCTGCAGAGGATTAAAAGATCCTCTTTTCAGGAAGCTTCCTCCCCCACAGTGCATCTGTCTCTGAGCTGTGCCACTTCAAGGGCAGGGTAGATAACCAGGCAAATAAGAGAAACCTGTGAGTTCTCCTGCCCCCTCACTCTTCCTTGATCTCTCTGGGCACTCAAATAGAGACAGTTGCACACACAGTGCTTTGAGGGGGATTCAGGAGGGGCAGATTGATTTCATTAGAGAAAATCCCCATGACTGCACTTTCAAGCGGGACAGTTCAGGCAGGCAACAGGCTAAGGTAGTTTCTTCGTCAGTTGTGATGGCTGCTGCTTTCAGAGGAACTGGACTCAGTGCCAGGGCAGCTGCTCCTTGGAGAAGCCGCCAGTGCCACCTTTGCATGTGGACTTGTCTTCTCTCACTGAGTGGAGTAGAGACTTGGCCTTATTGGACCCCATTCTCTCCCACCACCACCAAGTGAGGCTGCGAGTGAGAGGATATGGCAATTCTTCTAGTGGCTACCTCTCTGTAGTGCACCACATACATGCAGGGAGGGGGGATAAGCAAAATGAGTGAAGGTGGCATTGCCCCTCAGCAGTACTGTGGGCCCAGTCCATCTTCCTGTGCTGACCAGAAATGGGTAGTTAATACTAGAAAGAGGGAAACCAGGAGCAGGTACGTTGTATCTTCCTTTTTCCTCAAAGCAACAGAAATGGTGGCAAGATATGTATGTGGTTGTAGGGATGACTGCTGAGCGCCTTGCCTGCCTCTTCTGCAGAGCAAGAGAAATTAGTCTTTACTCCCCTCCCGTCACCAGTTGCCTACATTTCCTCCAGAAGAAAAGTGGCAATCAGTGTTAGGTACTCTTTTTTCAAATGCACTTTGAATGCCATGTGTTGTGGCTGCCTCTCTTCTAGTCTGGCTATTTGATTTCTTTCTGCCTGAGCGGCTTCTTGTTTTCTGCCCAGTGAAAGTCCATGTGGGTCTGCCAAGTGCCATGCCTATTTGTAATAGTGCTGTGCAGTACTGCTATACTGTAAAAACTGTCGCCCCAGCTTGGCAAAGAATATCGGTGCAGTGTGTATGCTGTTCCTAATATTGCCATTCTTTGTGGCCTCTGTGAATGCACACAAATGGGTTGTTCTGCGCCTGCACAAGACGTCTTGGAAGTTTCTAGAGCTTAAAGACATGTGATTAGTAGGATGTTCCCCCGTGGAGCACATGCTCCGCCCTCCAAAGTCCCCTCAGTTCCTTTTTGCTGCTGCTTTGGTTGGACTTCTTTTGGAATGTTAGAGTGACTACTGAGATCAATCCTTTAAACCAATTTGGCTATTTTCAATTATACCATATTTTCAATCATCTCTTTTTTTGGACGATCCCCTGTAAGTTATCCGCTTCTTTTTTCTTTTATCTACTCCATTCATTCTCTCTTCTTCCTGTGGTTTTTTTCTCTCCCCCGCCACCTTTCCCTTCCCTTTCCCCCTACCTTTTATGGGGCCCCCAGGGCCCTTCAAGCGTTGTGTGCTTTGCACAAATAAGATCTTAATCAAGATAAAACACCACCCTTAGTTTGAGTTTCATTCTGGCCATGCTTGATTTAGTAAAGGAATCATGGGACAAACCCCCCTCATCACTTCAGATTTCACAACTAGTAGAAAATCATTATAAAACCCACTGCTCCAACACAGCTTTCCTTTCCAAACATCCCACACGAAATTCAATTATTGTAGAATCCAATCAATCAAGGGCATGTAACAACACATCTATGGCTCCCACCAACTGAGAAGGAAGGAGACTTGACATTCTGGGAAGACGACTATATTCCCTTACATCATTTATCATGAGGGTCACAAACTACCAAGCCGCTATGGGCGCATACCACAGCCAGCTATGGAATAGGATCTTACCTGTCATCCAGGTGGCTCCAGACACCACCAAGACAAAAGCCCTGAACATTTTAACGCCAAGGCTTCAGCCTTAGCTAAACAGCAAAGAATCGCTTTCTGCCGTACCGTGGATGCTGCCTCTAAGGCTATGTCTACATCTATTGCCTTGAGGTGCCATGCCTAGCTGAGATCGGAGGTGTCTCAGATGATACTAAAGCAAGGATAGAAGACCTTCCTTTTGATGGTGCTGGCCTTTTCAATACTAAAACAGACGAATTCATGGACAATCTCCATAAAATCCACAAAATGGCACGCTCATATTCCACCCACCAACCTTACCGGTATCAGCGTCCTCAATTCTGAAGACAACCTTTCTTTCGACAGCCATTTCAACCATACCAACAACCATATCAACCATACAAGTCACAAGTATCTGACAGATCCTACCCAGGCCCATCTACATCTACTGTACCTTCCTTTTGACCTCAACAGCAACAAGCACGTTGACATCCCTTTCGAGATCCACAAAAAAGGGTAAGCAGTATCCATAGACCCCTGTCTATCTACATTTCAAACTAGACTCCATCCCTTGGCTTGGCGCCATATCACTAATGATCAGTGGATTCTTTCTATTGTCCAAAATGGTTATTTTATTGAATTTCAATGTACCTCACTCTCTGGTGCCTTTAAGACTACTCTATACTCTCTAGCTCTCCATGAAGAAGTTTCTTCTTCTCCAAAAGCAAGCCAATATTCGTAGTCCCTTTCCCTACATTGCATGATGGATTTTACTCCATATATTTCACAGTCACCAAAAAGGATGGAGGACTCCATCCTATTCTTGATTTTAGAAACCTTAATAAATTCATTCGGCCCAGACGCTTTAGAATACTGACCCTCGGGCACTATCATCCCTCTCCTTTCACGGGGAGACTCATTTATCATCATCAACTTCCAAGATGCCTACTTTCACATCTCTATCAATCCACTTCATCACAAATTTCTATGATTCCAAGTTGACGCTTCATACCAATTTTGCTCTCTCCCGTTCGGACTTTTCACGGCACAAAGGACCTTTACCAAATGTATGACATGAGTCGCTGCCTATCTCCAACTACAAGGTATTACAATATTTACCTACATAGACGACTGGTTAATAGTCACTACTTTGTATCACAGTGCAGTCAGAGCTACCCAACAAACTCTCGATACTCTTCAAGATCTAGAACTCAGGGTAAACCTTGCCAAATCCCATTTCGAGCCTTCACAGACCGCCACCTACATCGGGACGTATTTTGACTCCCTTTGAGCCAGAGCCTTTCTCCCTCAAGAGAGAATCACCAAATTAAACCAGCCATCCGACCATTCCAACCCCTAGCTTCGGTATTGGTGCATCAAGCCCAGCACCTTCTCGGGCTTATGGCTTCTACGACAGCCATTATCCAGCATGCAAGGCTCAAAATAAGGTCCCTACAATCATGGTGCCTATCACTATTTGATCCCGTAACAGACCACCCTTCCAAACGTCTCATAGTAACATCAGAACTTGCCAGTCAACTCACCTGGTGGACGTTTCTTCCTCATTTGATGCTAGGCAGACCCTTTCGACCTCTGCAGTTCTCAATACAGGTTACCACCGACGCCAGCCCATCAGGATGGGGAGCTCACTGTCGATATCACAAAATACACAGCCTATGGACAAAACAAGAACAATTATTACACATAAACCATCTCAAACTGAGAAGGTTGATGAGCTATAATAGCAGAAACGTACACCTTGAGGGTAGAATGAGAGAGGCCTACTCTACCTATTTCCTCCGATTCCACTCATACAATGAACCGTCATTCAACTTCGACAGTTCCACTCAAACACCATCCTCCTCACCCCATGGTGGCCATGTCAACCGTGGTTCACCCAACTGAGATTGATATCGACCAACGTGTTCTTGGTCTCTCTCATTCTACCCTCAGGGTGTAAGTTTCTGCTATTATAGCTCATCAACCTTCTCAGTCTGACTCAGCTAGGCTTTTTTCTCACCCAACGCTGAGGAAATTTCTCAAGGGACTCCTCAATATCCACCCCCCACATCAATATCCTCTTCCTCAATGGTCTTTGCAACTTGTCCTTAACGCACTTACCTGACTGCCTTTCGAACCAATGGCTACTACTACTTTCAAATTATTCTCTTTAAAAACATAGTTCCTTGTAGCAATAACATCTATTAAATGTGCCAGCGAACTTGCAGCCCTCAGATCAGACCCACCTTTCCTTCAGTTTCATCCAGATAAGGTTACCCTCTATTTTGATATATCGTTTTTACCTAAAATTGTCTCTGATTTTAATCTCAATCAACCATTGATTTTACCAACTTTATTTCCATCTCCTTCTACACCTCTCGAAGGCATGCTCCACATGCTTGACGCAAGACACTCTTTGGCCTTCTACGTTGATAGAACTAAATCATTCAGACATTCTCCAAGACTCTTATTATGTTTCCATGGCCCTCATAAGGGTGCCCCAGCTTCTCCTCAAACTATCTCTCGCTAGATTGTTCAAGCTATTTCATTGGCCTATGAGCTCACAGGCAGGACGCCTCCTGAACATTTAAGAGCTCATTCTACTAGAGCGCTGTCAACCTCTACTTGCCACATCTGCCGTGTAGCTACATGGTCTAATCCATCAACCTTTGTGAGGCACTACTGTCCAGGCGAAGAATGATGCTGATTTTGGCAGAGCGGTCTTGACATCTTTTCTACCATGACGGCCCACCATCCAGCCCTCGGCAAGCGAGGGGAGGGCGCGAAAATGGCTGCCCAGGGCCAGGAAACTTCTCTAAGTGGGAAGTTTAGGGCTGATTTGGAACGCATTAAATGAAGTTTAATGCGTTCCAATGGCTTTTTACTTCCCGCTTAGCGAAGATTTCACATAGCGAAGGTTAATCCGGAACGGATTAACCTCGCTATGCGGGGCACCACTGTATTTCATTGGCCTATGAGCTCACAGGCAGGATGCCTCCTGAACATTTAAGAGCTCATTCTACTAGAGCGCTGTCAACCTCTACTTGCCACATCTGCCGTGTAGCTACATGGTCTAATCCATCAACCTTTGTGAGGCACTACTGTCCAGGTGAAGAATGATGCTGATTTTGGCAGAGCAGTCTTGACATCTTTTCTACCATGACGGCCCACCATCCAGTAAGTGAGCTTGTCAGTCACCCATTTGTGTGCATTCACAGAGGCCACAAAGAAGAAAGAGAGGTTACCTACCTTTAACCATGGTTCTTCTGGTGGCCTCTGTGAATCCACACATCCCACCCATCCTCCCCTCTATCCATCACGTTGCCTTTTATTTAAGCTTTTGACAGTGGCAGACTCTTACAGGAACTGAGGGGACTTTTGAAGGGCAGAGCATGCGCTCCACAGAGGAACGTTCTACTAATCACATCTTTAGGCTCTAGAAACCTCAGACACGTTCTGTACAGGCACAGAACAACCCATTTGTGTGCATTCACAGAGGACTACTAGAAGAACCATGGTTACAGGTAGGTAACCTCTCTTTTTTTGTAGCTCTGATGGTGTTATTTCTGAGATCTGTAACTGGAATTTCTTGATATTTTTCCCCAAAACCCTGATAGCTATGGGGACCACTGAAGTGTGTTTCATCCACAAACAATATGTTTTGATTGCTAGATCTCTATTAGTTTTTCCAATTCTTTATCTTCAACTCTGGCGTCCCCTGGAATTGCAATGGATAATTAATAACTGACATTGCATTTCCAGGGGATGTCAGAACTGAGATGATGTATTGGAACTACAAAAACAAAACGAAGAAACCCCAAACCCTGGCAATATTTGGAACAGCATATCATCATCATTCCTTGAGGGCTGTGAGGATGCCTTCCAGGTATGTTGGACTACAAGTCCCATAAGCCCTCTGCAGGCTGAAGAAGGCTGCCTTAGATTCGTCCTTTGTGCCTTTACGTAGGTAAAGGTAAAGGTTCCCCTTGACAATTTTTTTCTAGTCAAGTTCGACTCTAGGGGGCGTTGCTCATCCCCGTTTCCAAGCCATAGAGCTGGTGTTTGTCCAAAGACAATCTTCCATGGTCACATGGCCAGCGCAAGTAGACACGGAACGTTGTTACCTTCCCACCGTGGTGGTACCTATTTATTTACTCGCATTTGCATGCTTTCGAACTGCTAGGTTGGCGGGAGCTGGGACAAGCGACAGGCGCTCACTCCGTCACGTGGGTTTGATCTTACAGCTGGAGATCTACAGACCTTACACAGCACAGAGGCTTCTGCGGTTTAACCCGCAGCGCCACCACGTCCCTTGTACCTTTAGGTGGCGCTATTTGTGAGGCTGAACTCTTTGCATTGCCGAAAGAATCCTCCTTGCGGCTTACCTCAGAAGAGCCCTTTCTCTGCTTTTCCTTAATGTTTTGCGCCCCAAAATCCTGCTAATTATATTGGCATGCGAAAGGCCTCATTACCTGCACCCCATTAATGGAAGGGGCAGCATCCCCAATTCTCTGTGCAGCTAGTGACACACACACACACACACACACAGAGAGAGAGAGAGAGAGAGAGAGAGAGAGACGCCGCCGGGCGCGGATGACGACGACGACGAGGGCTTAGTGGTGTGGGTTGTATTTTTCGCGCTGACGTTTTCACGCACCCGCTTGGCTCCTGCCCAAACTGGCATTTGATGGTTCCAGCCGGGGCTGCTGAGGCAATCAGGCGGGGGCGTGGAGAGACGCCCGGCAGCCAATGGGCGCTCTCTCTTTTTGCATACATTATGCAAGAAGGTTGGAGCTCCCGCCAGGTTGTTGGTCGGCGGAGCAGGCAGGCAGGCAAGCTTTGCAGGGGAAGGAGGGAGGGAGGGAGAAAATCGAGATCGATTTTGCGCAGCAGCGGCGGCGGCGGCGGCGGCGGCACCCGCAGCATCTCCCGCGTCCGCCTTGCCGTTTATCGCCCTCGAGCCACCCGCCTCTTTTGTTTGCTGCTTTCTCTTCTGCGGACGTACAGAAGCCCAGCGGAGGATTTCCTGTGCTCTGGATTCTTTTTTTCTCGTGCTGTTCTGCCGTTGCATGATTGCCCAATGGTGTAGGAGGCAGGTGGCAATGGATCTAGGAGTCTACCAGCTCAGGCACTTCTCCATTTCCTTCTTGTCATCCCTGCTGGGCACCGACAGCTCTGCCCTGAGGCTCGACAGTAGGTAAATAGAGGCAGGTCGGAGACATTTGTTTTCCGAGGCGCTGGCTGGCATGCAGGGCGGGGTGAGTGTGTGTGTGTTGGGGGGGGTGTTTGATGGCGGTGTAGATCTCGCTCCCCCCACCCCGCGCGTTGCAGGCATCTTTGCGGCAGTGCAGGTGGCCCCCTCTTTTGTCCGTGGGGCGGCCAAAGCGGGACCGCTGCCGTGCCCCCACATTATGTAATTCCGCTGCCATCTTCTTGGTTCAGTGGGAGAGAGAAGCGGAGGGAGGGGGCTATTTGTGTGTGCTGCAGCTGCCTTTCGTGCCAGGGCGGCCCCCCCATCCCGGTTTTAATGCATCGGTGGCTGCTAACCTGCTCTGTTTCTCTCCCTCTCTCTCCCCTGTCCCCCCCCACCCCGTTTGTGTTTTGCAGCTTCTCGGGTGCCCGCGTCGTAGCGATAGACAACAA